AATTCCTGAAAATTCTGTCTTCCTTTATCAAAATGAATACTCCCTTAAGATAAAAGTTCATTTTTCAATTTCTAAAATGGAAATAATTGTCTTGCTTACATTATAATGTAAGTATAAGGACAAAAGTATTGAATACCTGAAAATGTTATGTAATTTGGAGTTACTATTTTCCCTTATTACTGAGATTCTTTTGAACCAGTGAAATTCTCAAAAATGAACACTTTCAGATATGGCTCTAATTAAATGTACTACTCTAAAACTTTAAATATATCAATGAGCAAAGATAATCCCATTTCAATTCTTGGAACTTTAAGAAGTAATTGCCTCTAAGAAATTAGAACATGAGATTCCTTATGAGAATATAGTCACACAACCGTCTTAGAGAAAGAACAGGCTGTTTCCTTCAGTTAAGCCTTCAATTAAAGGAAGCTTTCACATTTATTAAATTCGGAAACCCAGAACAATCCTGTAAATCTGATATATTCCGAAGAACTTCATGAAGAATACCGGTAATCATTAAATTTCAAGATCTTCTTGACATTTCTGATTTTACTCCTGTGTCATTTACTCACAAAGCGCATAACATGGAATATGAATTTTAAAAGAGTAGAGGCCAGAGAGGTCAGAGTCTTACTGATGAGATTTCAGCAAAGGGGGAGAAGCCACTATTAAGATAAATGAGACTAAATAAATAATCCAAGACAGAGCTTTCTCTTTTTTTTAATTAAGACACGTTCCCAAGTATGCCTTAGACTTCTGAAAACACCTATTTAAATATTTTATCTCATTTTCAAAATCAAAGTATTTTTTATTCCCTGAGACTATTAAGATCATCTTCTGCAGATGTGTACACATAGTTTACTCTAAATTGGAAAGAACAACATTTATAAAATTCGAAACTTTTGAAATATAATAAAAAAAACCTATGTATACCATGTCGCAATTATTATTTTTTAAATTATGTTTAGGTTCACTTTGTGTCTATTTTCATGTCTGTTCCAGCATATAACAGATGAAGACTTTAACTATGTATGATTTCAACTGAAAAGGAAAAAAAAAAAAATCAAACAGAGGGAAAGGAAAAAAAGTAAGAAAATAAAGATTATCACGTAGAACACATTATCTTACTAATTCCAGTGGACAATTCTGTCTCCCAAATAACATAAGAGTTAAAATTAACTCTAAAATACCAAGAATTTCATTTATTATAGTGATTAAAAATATAAAGATTGGAATTAGACTTTATTTGAATTCTGACCCCATCTCTTAATAATACGGCCTTTCCTTAAAGACTGCTTCAGTTTTCCCTTCTTCAAAATTACTTAAACAATGTTACAGTAAATAAAGGAGATACTACATTAAAAAAGGTTAGCATGGAGTCAAGCAACTACTAATTCAAAAAAAAATGGTGTTATTAATTAACCAGGCCAAAGGAATTGTGGGGTCTTCTGACCCTTGTTCACAAAAGGTATGCACAAGGTAATTTACTAGACTGGTAAATTAGGCACTAATTGTCTATGGAAAAAATGAGAAATCCCTTTTTTCACTGATTTCTCAAACATGTCATTGAGAAACTAAGCACAATCACCTTATTTTTTTCTGGGTAACCTACTCCTGAGGAGAAATCTTTCTCCCATTTGCAGCCTTCTAATACTCTAACAAGAATCTCTAAGTTCAGGAAAAGGCAAGTTGAAAAGCAGTGTGAAATATCTCATTTGGACGTTAGTTCCTGCATTTAAAGTTATTCTACAGGATTATGGCCCCAAACTGTTAATCATGGTTAGCTTCAGGAGTTGCTATTGCTGGACACTTTCATTTCCTATGTTAAATATGTATGCTATATTAAAATTTGCCATAATGGTATACACTTTTTAGAGGGGAAAAAAACCTTTTAAAATGTGTAAAATATCCATATCCTTCCTTGAGAACTGAATGAAAAATTTGAGGATTTCTTGACAATCCCTAATAGATTGCCTGAACCACAAGGAAATTTTTCTACAGAGAGGAAAAAAAGATTTACTGTTCCGTAGGAACGTGAATGAGAGAAACTATGAAGAGCCTCATTATTTTGTATACCTGAAGGGAAAGAACTGGGCTGAGTGGGCCAGCAAGGTAATGGAGTCTTTATACCATACTGGGACTGAAATGGTGTCTCATGTGCCATCCAGACCAGGAAGTAAGCTCCTGGCCTTAGAGAGACACCTCATGTGCCATACAAATCAGTAAGTACGTGCAAACCCTCCTCTTTCCCAAGTTTCGTCAGTGAAGGGCCCCATGTCCAGCAAAGAACAGCGCTGTGACCCACTGGCTCTTTCTATCCTATCAAAGGTGGGGAGAAGTGGGCAGAATCGGCACAAAGACAAAGCTCTTCAAAACACCCATCCCAACTTCCCCAAACCTCTACATCCACAAGCAAGCAGATTAAAACCGCAATACACTTAAACTTATTCTTTTTCTTTTCTTTGGGAATGACAAACAATAATCTACGGACTTGCTCAGAGAATCTATCTTGACTACTGATTCTAGACAGACTGCCTCCCCAAGAACATGCAAATATATATAAAGTGTTCCACAGATTAAAAAAAAAAAAAATCAGTGACTTGAGTATCTTCTTGATAATGATACTGATTTTCAGGAGTAAGGAAAAAAAATCTCCAAATATGAGGCAACAAAACAGCAACACAATAATGACAGCTTTCTAACAAATTGAAAACACTGAAGTTGGCCTCAAGTTTCTTCAACATAGTAATACAGGACCAAAAAAAAAAAACAAGAACAAAAACAAAAAAACAAACAAACAAAAAAACAGTGCCAGGAAATCCACAGAGTACTGACAAAAAATTATTGTGACTCAAAGCTTCCATATCCAGCCAGTGTGTTCTTCTAATGTGAATTCAATAGGAAGATATAATTTAAACGTAGTAAGATTATTTTGTTGGCATACCCAAAAAACAATTGGTGATAAAAAAAATTTGAAATGAAGGTGGATGAAAACTTAAAAAAAAATTAGAAATAATCATACAGCTTATATTGTCTGAATAGTTTTAACAGTTACAAAATGTAATTGCAAATATCAAGATAGTTCTTTTAAACAGTACACCATGATCAAAGTTTAAAAAAGAAATCTGAACCCAAATCCCAAGTAATTCCTAGAAGAACCTGGAATAAACAGTAAAGAAGTCTAATTACGTTTAATTCTCATGTAACAACAGAAACTACCCATATACATCATTTTGTTTCGTTTATCAATAAAGAAAAATCATACATTTAATATCTTAAAAGAATTGGTAGGAAGAAAACATTATGTACTTTTTTAAAATTAAAAACAGAATACAATAATTTGATCAAGAGGAAATCTGTTATGAAAAGAATTACATATGCATTTCAAATTCCCTTTTAAACAATCTCAGTGAATCCAAAATATAAATGATAATTTATATTATTAGTCCCTGTACTTAGTCCCCTGTGCTTAAATAAACTTGAACTGTAATTAACAGTAACAAAAAACATTTAAATAGCACCTACTACTAGGCTGGAAAATAAGTATATTAACTTACTTTATCCTCGCTCATCTTTTAGTTGAGTAATCTTATCCCCATTTTACAGGTGAGAAAACACTTGCCCAGAAATTTAAAGGATTTGCTTAAGAAAAAAATACTGCAGGGGTGCCTGGGTGGCTCAGTCCCTAAGCGTCTACCTTCGGCTCAGGTCATGATCCCAGGGTCCCGGGATCGAGCCCCGCATCGGGCTCCCTGCTCAGCGGGGAGCCTACTTCTCCCTCTCCCTCTCACTCCCCCTGCTTGTGTGGGCTCTCTCTTTCTCTGTCAAATAAATAAATAAAATCTTTTTAAAAAAGAAAAAAATATTGCAAAGGGGCACCTGAGTGGTTCAGTCGCTTAAGCGTCTGCTTTCAGCTCAGGTCATGATCCTGGGGTCCCGGGATCAAACCCCACTTCAGGCTCCCTGCTCAGCAGGGAGTCTGTTCCTCCCTCTCCCTGTGCCCACTGCCCCACCTGGTGCTGTCTCTCAAATAAATAAAATTAAAAAAAAAAAAACTGCAAAAATTTAGCTTTGAACTCAGGCCATCTGGCTCCAGAACCCAGGCAGTTCTAGACACCCAATTCACTCTACAGCCTCTCTAATTAAGGGGAATATAAGAAAAGTACTTTTAAAAATCTCAAATGGTCCTTTCTTATTACTAATTACTTAGGCAAGAAGGCAGAGTAGAAATTGGTTAGAGAATGGTGAACATAGGAGCCAAGAGCTACGACTGAACAAAGACCCTGCTTTCTGGGCCTTGGGTAGTCCTCATAGATAATAGATTATCCTAGTCAGATTCTCAGGCTCTACCCTTACTAATATATAGGGTATCTCTGTCACTCCACTGGTAAAATCTCCCTGCCCTATACCGTCCTAAGGAACTTATTCCCCTCCCTTTCTCTCAGTGAAGCCTTCTCCAGCAAGTCTTCCACTCAGTGGTTCTCTATTTCTTTAGTCTTTCCCAGCATTTATCTTGAGCCCATAACATATGGGGAGGCAGGTATTTTTTATCTATATCCGAGGGTAAGACAGGCAGACACATACAGAAAACCCTAAGATGGGACTGAAAACTGCAGTCTAAAATATATCGCTCTCTGCCTTTACAGTTTGTCTATTTGCATTTGTGTGCACTTGTGCTATGTAATTGTGATTTTTTAAAAGTCTATCTATTAATTTTCAGTTTCGATGGCAATAGGGAAGGCAGATTTTTTTACTCAATAATAGAAGGACATCTCCAATGGATGCAGACTCTCCTGCAAATATTCACATAGTGAGGCTATAAGAACATCAACTGCTCATAAAAATCAGATTTCTTCTTTTATACAGAGTTGACCACAGACTCTTAAATGATATGTAAACGAAACTGTATCCCATTTTTGTCTTTTTCTTCCCCAAATCTGAGATATAAAAGACAGACAAGAGCATGGTATTCCAACAGCTGTTTAAATTCTTTTACTTACAGCCCTCATAGATGTCCGTGGGAATATGGACTGCGGCATGTTGATAGGATATCTGTCGTCCAAAATTAGCATCCTCAATAAAAACAGGTTTTATCCTCTGGCTGCCTGGCTCACTCTCATTTTTTTCAGGCTGTATCAGAAAAGATAGACAAGAAAAATAATATTACAACTTGAGATAACAGATACTGTCACATTCTTGTCTTCATTTGACAAGTGCATGGTCTTCGAAAAAAAAAAAACATATCTATAAGAATATTTAAAAATATAGTACCATGATGACATCAAGACTTACTGTGGTACTTGTTTTCCGATATATAGAAATATCAATAGTTGTGTTGTATACCTGAAACTAACATGTTATATACTAAATACATCAGAGACAAAAAGAAGCCATATTGAAAAAATATTGTAAAAAAAATATGAGATACACAAATAACATTCAGGTGTCAGAATTAGCGTTATCTTTCTATTGTTCACATTAAAATCGAACTTCTCATTTCTTCAGTGTTGGAGTCACTCAGGATCATCCTGACGGGACCAGAGCTTTTTCATGTGCAGTACTTATTAAAATGTACATTTATAGAACAGGATAAATTACGTTAAACACAATTGAATTAAAATTATCCCTCAATATAAATTTCACTATCTATGCTACTAAGTTTTTATTATGTGGTTGAGGATAATTCTTGGTTTGACAATTTATGGTAAACATGACTGCAAAAAGATAGCAATAAAGGATTATTTTATATCATGATCCCTTGCTTTTTGCAGGTTTTCCAGTTGTACCAATTTTTGTTTTAAAAATAAAGTATACTAGAAAAGATCTTTTGTAACTAAACACTATTAAATCCTAACTGCAACCATTTTGTCTCCTGAGGTAGGAGGTAAGGTCTAATCAATAATGATTCAAGATTCAAGAAAAGCCCACAGGAGTTTAAGGTTGAGAATTAATTTTCTATCTATTGAAACCAGGCTTTTGATACCGAATTACTTTATTGCTCTCCCCTGGCAGGAAACTGAGAATCACATCCATTGATCCAAAACGCAGCTCTGTAACCTTTTCGTCGTTGTTTTGACTAATTATGTTAAATTTTTTTTTTTTAGTTCAAATTCAGTTTTAAACTCTGCCCTTTTTTAAAAAAATTAAGTTCAGATCTATATTTTCAACTCAATGTTGGAGACTGTTTTCCATATTCCAAAGGTAATCGCCTCAAAACCAAACTGAAAAACAAATCACATTTGACTCTTTTTGGCAGCACACGACAGTGATGCAAGTGATAAACAAGAGAAAAGACGTAACTGGACAACCAGAAAATTTCCCAAGAAGGCTGGAAGACACTGCCAACAACATAAAATCAGCAGGTTTGCAAAGAACTGACGTGTGCGACTGTCCACATACAGCCCTGAAAAACGTAAATGACCAAATAACACATTATTATCCTGAGATATTAGGACACGTGTGTGTGTGTATTTATTTTTTCCTGGGAAACTGCAACATTGGAAATATTTAGACATAGATAAGAACAACATGGCCTTAAATGAAAAAACAAAAACAATGGCTTCCAAAGCTGCAAATCCAACCTATAATCAGAAAATGAAATCAATTTTATAGGTACTTATAAACCGAATTATTCTTTAAATGAAATACTAAACTTGGTTATGACCAAATTATTTAAGTGAAACATATTTTTTTTTAAATTAAGACTTTATTTATTTGTTAGAGAGAGAGGGAACACAAGCAGGGGGAGTGGGAGAGGGAGAAGCAGGCTTCCCGCCGAGCAGGGAGCCCGATGCGGGGCTCGATCCCAAGACCCTGGGATCATGACCTGAGCCGAAGGCAGACGCTTAACGACTGAGCCACCCAGGCGTCCCTAAGTGAAACGTATTTAGAAATATATAAAAGTACACTCTATATATTAAGCTGAAGAGCTATTTTGTGAAACTTGTGTTTCAGATAGGACTGTGTGTATGTGTATATATGTGCACATGAGACTGTGATGTGGACTGTAAAATTGGTCATGGACAAAAATACTTGAAAACCGATCACTGATTTTTTTTTCATATGAAAGTCATGAATATCTAATAGTTATCCCAGAAGGAAACTGAATATATAACCAAAGAGTAGTGTTTCAAGTCCAAAATTTGGAAAATATATCTTAACACAGGAATCACTAATCATACTCTTTTCTAAAAGAAAGTTTGGGGTGTGTGTGTGTGTGTGTGTGTGTGTGTGTGTGTGTGTGTACCAGCATGCAAGCAGAGCATGAAGAAAGGAGAGAGAAGAGGTATAAGGAAAATAGGAATCAGAGAGCAAAAGCAATTCTGAACCTAACATTCAATGGTTATTTAATAAAGAATGAAAATGATAAACTGGGATTCGGCCGTGGATTCAACCATGGATTTTAACACATTTAAAAAACTCACCACTGTCTGTTCCTGAGCACTACTGACTTGAATAAGGAAAGGGGCACATTAAAACAACGACTTCCAGTAGTAAGATGAATGTAAAGAGGACACCAACTACGAACGATGCCCCTATTTTTCTCAGCTGAAAATATTCTGAAAATCTCAATTTTTTTTTTTGAAGATTTTTTTTCTTTGACAGAGAGAGACACAGTGAAAGAGGGAACACAAGCAGGGGGAGTGGGAGAGGGAGAAGCAGGCTTCCCGTGGAGCAGGGAGCCCGATGCGGGGCTCGATCCCAGGACCCTGGGATCATGACTTGTGCCGAAGGCAGATGCTTAACAACTCAGCCACCCAGGCGCCCCTCAACATTTATTTTAAAACAATGGTTTCTCGAAGTATGGACCTTGGAGAAGCAGCGGCACTGAAATTTTTCAAATGTGGGCTCTCAGTCTCCAACCCCAGACAGACTCAGTCAGAAACACCCCGGGAAGGGCTGAGCGGTCTGCAGGGTAAGAAGCCTTCCCGGGGATCTGGTACTCGCTAAAACTGGGGGTCCACTGCTTTAAAAAATCAACAGTTGAAATTAGTCACATGTTTATATTTGGACCTACTCATGAAAAAATTTGGGTTGATCACTACTTAGCAGATTAATGAACACCTACTTTTTTACCCTCAGTTCTATGATTTGTGACTAGAAGCACAAAAACGGTAATATGGTGAGGAATACGTACCAAAAGATGTTTTCAAAAGAGTGGCGCCTGAGTGGCTCAGTCGGTTGAGCGTCCAACTCTTGGTTTCAGTTCTGGTCATGATCTTAGATCAAGGTGCCCCCACCCCCATCCCAACCCTATCTGCTTGAGATTCTCAATCTCCCTCTTCTCTGCCCCTCCCCCTGCTCATGCCCTAGCCCGCTTTCCCTCGCGCGTGCTCTCTCTCTCGCTCTAAAATAAAATGTCTTTAAAAAAAAAAAAGTTGTTTCAAAAGACAACAATCCCTCAAGATACTCTAGGGGTTAGTGCCACACTGACTTAAGTTGGGGAAAAGCTATTCCATTAAGAGAATAACAAACCACACTGGCATATCAAAGGCTCCGAGACAGGACTCACTCAAGAATTTGACCCAGCATTCTCAAACTTATGGGACCCTGGGATTTTTTTCCATTCAATACATCTTACAAAGAACATACTTACAAAATTCCATAGAAAAGCCAAGTGAAAAGCGTGGTGGTCAAAAAATTTGGCTCTACTCTGTTGCATTAATAACCTCTCAGACTTGAGCCACTCACCATTCCTTGGCCTTCAGTTTTCTGACTTATAAATCAATGATGTAAGGCTACAGGTGGTGTCTTTAGCGCATGGGCCTAATCAGAATCACCTGGGGAACCTCGGGCCCCATCAATGAAGACATGATCCCAATGAGGAGGCTGTCCTTTGAAAGAATCTCTCAGTTGATTCTAATATTCTCTCCCATCTTAAATTAAAAAACCCTCAAGCTAAAGAACCCACAGTCATTTTCAGGTCTGAAAAAAATTATGGTCCCGTTTCTATAATTTTAGAAAATAACACATTACTTTTCATAAGCCTATCTTTCCCAGAAATTCCACTTGCATCTATTTCTAGCCAATTTTACTAGACATATTTGAAGAGTAGAAGGATCAGATAGATAATAGACAGATAATGAAGTACATGTGTGTATTAGGGTAGGACTATGTGGATATGTGCAAGTATTTCACTCATTCAGTCACTTGAGACATATTTGTTGGCAGACTGGAGGAGAGAAGGATTTATTGATATTATGTTTATAGAAATGCCATTTAATATCTAAATCTGGAAACAAGTTAAATGTTCAACAATAGCAAAATGTCACAATTATCACAGATACAACTGGGTGTTATTAAGTAATATAAAAGAGTAATTACATTGGGAGTGTATATATAAACTGTTTAAAAATGACTTTAAGCATAAAAAGGAAATGCTAAGCAAAAAGAAGGAAAAAAAGGCCTATTATTTTTATTTGAGAGAGAAAGAGAGCAAGCACGAGCAGGGGGACTGGCAGGCAGAGGGAAAGGGAGAAGCAGGCTCTCCCCTGAGCAGGGAGCCTGATGAGAGGGGCTCAATCCCAGGATCCTGGGCTCATGACCTGAGCTGGAGACAGACGCTTAACCCACTGAGCCACCCAGGTGCCCCAAGGCCTACTATTTTGAGAAAAAGAGAGGTAGAGGGAAAAATGAACGGATGAGTATAGAGCAAACGGTATAAACACTATGGCGGGTTTTGTAGTTATGAGCCTGATGTGGGGCTCGATCCCACATGAAACTAGATGTTTCATGTTTGGGTTTTCTTTTTTCCAATAATACAATGAACATGTATTTGGAAGAAAAATGCATTAATTTTTGTTTTAAGCCCTTTGTAGAGTGCTATTAAGTATTGTATGATTATCTTACTAAGGTAAACGTTGCTTATGTTTCCTCTGAATCCTCTCATACTTAAAAATCATAAGTTTAAATACATTTTATGGAGATTCTTGCACTTGTAAATCACCATCTAAAGAGCTTTCAGGAATAACTTTAAAACAATAATGTAGTTTTCAAAAAATAAAAAAAATATTAGTGTACTTCTCAACTTGTATAATCATATATCAGGACAAGTATTAATGCACACTTGATAAGTATATAAAGAAAAAAATAATATGGCTGGTCTCCATGGTTCTCCCTATTATAGTCTC